TAGATTTCATTTGAGAGCAAAAGGAAACTAAAAAGAAAGAGATGGGAGCCACATTTAGTGTTCCCGCCAGCGTATTTTAGAGTAGGGGGCCATGATGCTAACATTTTGGACCATGACACTAAAGTCTGGCCGTGACATTAAAGATCTGGCCGTGACAATAACTGTAACTCTCTTTTTGCAGCAAATTTCTCTAGAAACTTGAGTGTGGCTAGAAATGACACCCCTTTAAAACACTTTTGCAAGCTAATGACCATCAGGATGGCCTTTAGTTTCACACTCTTGTGGAAACCCCAGTAGCAAGAACATCATGATTTGTTTTGCAGGAAGAGAAGGAATAAACAAATTTTCACTGCTTGAAAAAGGCCAATAATGTAGGTTACACACTACAAAATACACACATGCCCGGTATACAGGTTACCTACAGACATTATGGGATTTAGGGGAACATTTGACCAAGAAAGCACAAACAGAGGTTTTCTCTGGTATGATTGCGGGGCACTTTTCAAAATGCCATTCATAACCATCAAAATCAGGAATCAGTAAGGCCTACGAAGTAGTCTGAGTAACTGTTCAGGAAGTACCCTACATAAGATCATTGAACAAGAACAGGTCAACTCATACCACATGGTATGAGCTAACCTGTTCTTATTAAAATATTCAATGTTGTCCATGTGAACAAGTTGTACCATCAATTCAACATAACTGTACAAACTCATATCTTTGCTGAGTTGCACCTTGGACAACTCGTACCTTCACTTGTGAGACAATTCGTACCTTCACAGACATCAGAGTTTGCTACGGGCTTATTATTATTGAAATTAACTTGAACAATAATTTGACTTCTTAGTTATGTGTTTGTCACCTAATTTGCTATTTTGGCTATAATTCCTTTCCCTGCACGCCGGTGGGGTGACACTAATGTGAGACGCGTCAACGTCATGCATGTGCAAGCGTGGTCAGGCAACAGACCCTAGTCCATGTGGCTAGCCATCATTGTATGCAATTTGGAATTGTCACCGTGCAGTCCACCGTGATGGAGTGATGTCATGTTTCATTTACTTAAAAGTTTATAAAGTAATGTCAGTTGTAACTTGTCCCCCCAAAAATTTTAATACGGAAGGCTATCCCCCCAATCTAAAAACATGACCACAAGCATTTCCCAAAAAAATCAAGACATAAAATGTGTCACAGGTCAGTGATATTTTATGCCAACTGTTTGATTAATTTAAGGACCCAAACTGTATGATGCCAAGTTGGCCAAATTTCCTTAGATGCCCTTTATGCAAAGTAAGGTGCGGTCCTGTATGATTCACACCCGCATGAGTACACACCAGGCACGGGGACCTGAATAGTGTTTTGTAGTACCTGTTCACTGAGGCGTTGTCCAGCAGTGTTAGCCTTAAATGCTGGGGTGTGGTTCTGTGTGACACACATTGACAGGCCTGTGGTGCGATAGCTCAAATTTAAGCAATAGCTCTGAAGCCAGAATTTTATTAAGCTTTCAACCTTGGTAATGTGGATTGGAAATCCAGTGTTGGTGGTAGCCATAAGTTGGGAGAACGATTTGCTGCCCCAAATTTCCAGGAGAAAAGTTTAAAGAGGAAAGGCAGGCTATGACAATTTTCAGTGTGCTGTAAGACCTCAGGAGGCAGTATATACTGTTTGTGCTGTTTTTAATTATTTTCTAATATTTAGCCATTATTTTTTGGTCTGGTCAATGCAAGTGCTATTACTTTATATATCTGTGACAATGGGGAGTTCAAAAGCCAATTTCAGTGACCGTTGTAATAATGACGTTTCTCCTCTTGGGTATGTAAAATTAGTAATATGCACAAAATATGCACAAATGTTTGCCGTAAGATGTACATGTGTATTAGCGAACATGGGTATGATTATTCAATATTTCAGTGCTCCTTATTACGGAGTCGGAGCTCCCATATTTGGACCTCATTGAGTACCCTGACACGAGTAAGCCAGGTCCTACACTGACCGGATAGGGACAGCAAGTCCGCCGGAGGGGGACACGGCTACCTACCTGCCTCTTGGTCTACTTAGTCAAGCCCCGACTCACCTGCATCATCCTCGAAGGATTGGCTGAGAGTCATGTAACAGCGGCGCATCGGACAAGTGACCAGCTCTCCCTTTGAACTGTCCGAATTTGGGCTAGTGGTAATTATTAACCAGCCCACCAGCCTTCTAGTTTCTATGAAGCCCATTTTTTTTAACTGTTAATCTTTTGTATTTTGCTCCCCCTTGATTCAATTGTTTTTGTGGCTTGTATATTTGTAAATAAATTAGTTTCCATTGAATTTTGAAGTTAAATTATCTGCTTGTACTGCGTAATTTATTGTACTTACACTGTGTGTCAGAGTTCGACACTCGGCATGTAAACCAATGACGAAAAGGCCTGTGGCAGGCACTATGCAGAAAATCATGCTGGCGCTCAAGATCTCTCCAGGAGATTTATGAAGTTCTTCCTTGATACAAGTATGTTTGTCAAATCTGATCTTAAACATACTGAAAAGGAAGAGAAAGAAAGTTACAACCGAACTGTGAACAAAAAAAGTACGAGTGGTCTCAACCCAAGGTATGAGTACGAGTTTACGAGACAGGTATGAGTTGTCCAAGGTAAGACTACAAGTCGTCTAAGGTACATGTACAAGTTGCAGTTGAATAACAAAACAATTCCATCAGATGTCTTGAGTCCATCACATGAGCTTACTGGCATTCAATTCAGTGCACGACCCTGAACAATAACCAAAACTAACTTGAGGAAGGAAACGTACATGGGCAGTTGGTAAAAGTTGGAGGTAATCGGAGGAAGCCGGATGTAGCTTGAGGTAGAATTTACCAATTAGTAAAGCACTTACATATACATGTAAATGTCTACTCACTCGCCCTCCTGGTATGAAGGATCACTTTCCCATCGGGCTTGCCTTTTTACAGCCCAAAATTCTTGCCAAAATGATTTTACCCCGAGCCAAAACTGACACCCTTTATCCCCCGATCTTTGGCGACGGTACGATGCAAGAACATGTACAGTCATGACAGTTGTGTACATGTACTGTATGTGTACAATATGTGTGTGTACTGTGCGTCGATGCCAAGCATACAATGCAGCTTGTTCAAACATGAATCTCTACATGACAACAGAGGAAATGTAAATTCAAATTGAATTCTCAACTTAATGAAAGCACGGTGTACTCGAACAAAGAGCGTTTGCTGTACTTCAAAGCTGTACAATATGTTCATCCATTTGGTGGCCTAGCCTGTTTAAGCGGCCACCAGGCTGGTGGTGAAATAAACAGCTGGCTACCGGTTTTTGAGTTATTTTTGAGTGTGACACCCCAGAGGTTGGATGAAAATAGTGTTATGCCGGAGGTATAATAAACGGCCGGTGCCTTCAACAGTATTCACATGATTTTTTCCTGTTTACTTGGACCTGGAGGTTTATCGAAAGTAATTTACACTTTCCCCGAAAAATTATGACAAAATTGACAAAAATTTCTTTTAAGTGCCCAAACAATAAATCCATATTTTGTTCCTTTATTAACTAAAATGACTGTAAATTATCATCAACTGCAAGACACACCATATGTATGAGCAGAATATTTGCAAGTCTTTCAGCCAAACCAGTTCCAGTCAGTCTTCACGCTTGAAGTCGAAGACTAAACCACCAAAGATGATGACGCTGTCAACTAATTTTGATAGTGAAGATCTTCGAGAAGCTAAGGACAACAAACAGGTCAAATGTCCATGCTGTTCACAGCCTCACAAATTGGAAGATTGCAAGTCCTTCACACAAAGGTCGTATGATGAGCGACGACAGTTTTTTAGGGATAACAAACTGTGTGATAACTACTCCATTCAGTGGCATGTAGCCAGACGATGTAGACTCGGCAGTCGTTGTGGAGTTGCCGGATGCATCTGGAAGCATCACACTCTCCTTCACCCACGAAAAAGCCTGCACCACTCCAGCAGAGATGAAGTCTGAAGCTGTTGGTATGTGTACTTCAACCAGAGCTGGGGATCAGTTGCTAGGTGTAAAAGAGAAGCCTGGAGAGTGCCATTCTGTTACATCAAGGCAAGTTGCCCTACGAGTATTGCCAGTGAAGGTCAGACACAGTGACCGCCAGGTGGAGACCTGTGCTCTACTTGATGAAGGCAGGGATGGATCGCTGTGAGACGAGTGGTTAGCTGAGCAGCTTGGAATCAACGGTGAGAGGTTTAATTTCTCCCTCAACACCATTGGAGGAACAAACGAGTGTTATGGTATGGAAGTGAGCCTAAAGGTGAAGTCCACCCAAGCTGAAAAGGAGCTGGACCTACGGAGGGTGAGGACAGGTCAAACCTTCGTGATATCCAGAAGTGTCTTCCCAAGTGAGAGAGATGTTAGGAAATGGAGACATTTGGATGGAATTGAGTTTCCCCGCACAGACCAAAGGCCAATCCGAATCCTAATTGGTGGAGACGTAACTGAAACATTCTGGGTGATGGATGAAAGGTGAGGAGGATGCAAGGAACCTTATGCAGTACAATCACTCCTTGGATGGACACTCATTGGTTCTACATCAACCTCACTTGGGAAAGGAGCAGGTTTTAATAGCCATTGTACCAAGCTCCAAGATGACCAGCTGCTTCAGCAAGTCCAGAGGTTTGGGGAGGCAGACTTTGGCGAGTCTATCATGGACAACAAGCGAGGTGACTCAGTTGAGTATCACAGGACAAGAGCCACCATGGAAGATTCGGTGAGGCTGGTTGAGGGCCACTATGAAATTGGTCTGCCGTGGCGAAGTCAGTATCCAAACTTGCCGAACAATCGAGTGCTTGCCGAAATGAGGCTGGGTTCCCTCAGGAAGCGTCTACAGAAGGATGATGACTTGTGTCAGCAGTACAAGGAAACCATCGATGGTTACATCCAAAAGGGATATGAAAGGCCGGTACCAGATGCCAAGTCTGGGAAAAGATGGTATTTACCACATAATCCTGTATTTCACCCTCAGAAGACGGGACAAATGAGAGTGGTGTTTGACTACGCTGTGAGCCACAGAGGAACATCACTCAACGATTATCTCCTGAAGGGCCCAGATTTCACAGACAACTTAGTCGGTGTGCTCACTCATTTCCGTCAGGAGACCATTGCAATGGTAGCAGACATAGAGGCCATGTTTCATCAGGTGCGGGTTCCTCAAAGAGATAGCAATACCCTACGATTCCTATGGTGGCCTGACCATGACTTGGCAAAGGATCCCACTGACTTACAAATGCTCATCCACTTGTTCGGGGCAGCGTCATCTCCCAGCTGTGCAGGGTTCTCTCTGAGGAAGACAGCCAAAGACCACGGTGCTGAATATGAGGAAGCCACTGCTGCAGCAGTACATGACAGTTTTTATGTTGATGACCTTTTGGCGTCAGTGAACAGTGCAGAAGCTGGTATCAGTCTTTCCAGCCAGCTCATTGATCTATAAGGGAAAGGTGGCTTCCGGCTGAGGAAATGGATCAGTAATAGCCTAGAGGTTCTGGCATCTATTCCAGCAGATGAGGGGGCACCATCTGTGTTTGATCTGGACTTAAATTACTTGCCCTTTGAGCGTACTCTACGAGTACAATGGAATGCAGAGTCTGATTTGGATTCGTAACAGCCTTGAAGGAGAGGCCTGCTACTCACAGGGGTATCTTATCAACTGTCAGCTCACTATTTGACCCGCTGGGATTTCTCGCACCATGCATCCTTACAGTCAAGATCTTACTTCAGGATGTCTGCGGCAGAGGGCCAGGATGGGACGAGAAGACTGAGGAGCAAGAATTTCTCAGGTGGAAGCGCTGGTTGGACGATTTGCCAAGGTTGGAGGCTCTCTCCATCAACAGGTGTTGGAAGCCAAAGGAGTTGAATGACACAGCAGTTAGTCAGCTGAACTTCTTTTCAGATGCCTCGAAGCATGGATACGCAGCTGTTGCCTATCTGCAGACAGTGGATGGTACAGGAAGAGCTACGTGTTCTTTCATCATGGGGAAGGCATGGCTGTGTCCCTAGAAGTCCACATCCATTCCACGCTTGGAGCTAACAGCGGCTGTTCTCTCAGTCCAGCCCAGCAAGATGTTTCAAGAAGAGCTGAGATTGCTCATTACTGATGTTGTCTTCCGGACAGACTCAACTTCAGTTCTGAAATACATAAGGAATGAGAGAAGGCGTTTCCGCAGCTTTGTGGCAAATCGAGTTGCAAGAATCCAAAATCCTACTGATGAGTCACAGTGGTGCTTCGTTGACTCAGAGTCAAACCCAGCAGATGAGGGATCCAGGGGAATGAGTGCCAACAAGATGATCAAAGAAGGCCGCTGGCTGAAGGGGACACGGTTCTTGATGTTGAATGAGGATCACTGGCCAATTCCATCAGTTGTTTTGAAGGGTACAGTACCAGATCCTGAAGTCCTGCCAGTTAATGATGCACTTAAAGGGGATCCCGAAGTCAAGAAAGTTGTGACCCAGACAGTTTTAGTGTGTGAGAAGCCAAAAATTGACAAATTCCTGGCCAAGTATTCGTCATGGAACCGACTAAAGAGAGGGGTTGCTTGGCTTTTACGTTTTGCCAACTACCTTCACATCAGGGGGAAGGCAACAGGAGAGACCATGAAGCAGGGAAGTCTTGCGGTGGAAGTGTACCAGGCTGCAGAAAGGGGAAAAATTCGGTACATGCAGTGTGAAGCATTCCCCAAGAAGATAGATGCTCTCGCCCAACGGAAGCAAGGTTGTGCCATCAGCAAAAGGAAATGCAAGAGGCAAGAGTCCTCTCTCAACAGGCTGAATCCTGTATTGATGGATAGCATCTTGCGAGTAGGCGGTCGCCTCAGAAACACGCCAGTTGATGAGGAGACAAAGCATCCAATTATTCTTCCGAGCAACCACAGGGTGACAAAGCTGATCATCCAACACCATCACTTACAGGTTGGTCACTCTGGTGTAGGGATGACATGGTCGTCGCTGAGGGAAAGGTTCTGGGTTGTCAGAGGTGGTGCAACTGTTAGACGTACCATTGGCGATTGCTTTGAGACATCAGTTCATGGCTGACCTACATGTACTTGCAGCTAGAGTAACACCAGGTGATCCACAGTTCACATCAGTGGGAGTTGATTATTTTGGGCCTATCTACGTGAAACAAGGCCGCAGTCGGGTGAGACGGTACGGGTGTGTCTTCACGTGTTTATCAATGTGTGCAGTCCACCTTGAGGTTGCTCATTCTCTAGACACTGATAGCTTCATCAATGCACTTCGGCGATTTATTGCAAGAAGGGGCAAACCACAGACAATAATGAGTGACAATGGGACAAATTTCATCGGGGGAGAGCGAGAGCTGAGAGTCTTGCCAAACTGAATCAGCAGAAGGTCAGCGACTTTTTTACTGCAGCAAGCTACTAAGTGGCGATTTAATCCTCCAGCAGCACGCCATATGGGTGGCATATGGAAG